GTTTGGTAGAGAGAGAAAGAGAGGAGGAAAACAAACAAGCATGGAAATGGAAATTATCGCGGCGGAGGAATTATCAAGCTATTTTTTATTTTTTTATCGTGCAATTAATTGATTTATTGACTATCGCCACTGGCGTATACCGCGAAAAGAGCCCATTGTTGTGCCATTCATCCATGACCATCACCTCATGTTGCAGCATGATAATGCACAGCTCCTTGCTGCAAGGATCTGTACATAATTCCTGGAAACTGAAAACATCCCAGTTCTTGCATGGCCAGCATACGCACCGGACATGCCACCCATTGAGCATGTTTGGGATGAGTGGCTTTTTATTGTGGCACACCTGTGCAATATTCATGCTGTCTAATCAGCATCTAGACATGCCAGGTGGGTTGATTATCTTGGCATAGGAGAAGTTTTCCATCACAGGAATAAATTAAATTCTAAAATGGACCTACTGTATTATATACCCTTTTTTTTTTTTTTTTGGTATGGTAACACTGCACTTTTCAGAAGGTGAATTAATAGAAACAAGAACTAAACTGGAGTGCATTTCCCAAAAGCATTGTTTGCCAACAATGGTCGCAAGTTCTATTGAACTCTGTTTGAACTCTAATTGGTAAAGATGGGAAACATATTTTTTAATGTATTTTGATCAATTAAATGCAGCTTTGGTGGCCATGGAGTTTTTGAAATTTTAAAGACATTAAAAACCTTATTAATTCAAAAACGTTTGAATAGTAGTTCATATGCAATAGATTATAAAACACAATTTGTTAGACTGGACAAGCAAATCAGTAGCTTCTATTTGTGATGCTAGTTAATAGCTGTATTTTGTCGTTTCCTGTGTGAAAAGCCTGTTTGTGCCGCTTCTTTTGCCTCTCTTTTTGGGCTTCCATTAGCATGTCACGTCACTCTTTCTGTCACCAGGTCCCGGGGGCTGAGCAGTGAGGGCCAGTTCAGCCCGTCAATCTTCCAGTCCTGGAGGTTAAATTCTCCTCTTAACCAAGCTCCAGACATATAAGTCATGAAATGAGGCGAATCATCCTGCTACTTAATTACAAAACAGGCCAAGGCAACGCAGCGAGGCAAAGCCTGGCTCAACGCTCGGCCGCGATAAATTTCATGAATGAAGAGCTCGCTTGGCACCCCAGAGGCATGCAGTTCCACATCTGTTTTCATCCTAAAACTGAAGCTGCTCATCCTGCTTAGTCATCTTTCTCCATGGCCTGCAGCTCATCATAGCGCTTGGCTCTGCCCCTTGGCCTACAGCTCAAATGAAGCCCTGGAGGCTATCAGACACTTTTATTTTATATTTTATTTTCTTCATTCACCTGCTTCGTCGTCTTAAAGAAAGTATCTTGTGGATGAAAGAAAGTTGGACTCAGTGCAGTTGTGTTGTAGCATGTCTGAGGCAGTTTTGAGGTAGAGAGTGTTAATTAGTTCCCCGTGTCTGCTGCCGATAGCATGATTTCTATTTGACTCCCGCAGATTTCAGGATTGGAGAAGGCTGGCATTAAAGGCTATAAAGCTTAGGCTCAGAGCATTTCTTGAGGAATCATTGCCTTTCTTTCATTATCAGACTAATCAGTTGGCTGAGATGATAATGACTCTTGTGTCTTGCGCTCTTGTTTCTCCTGCCAGTTGTGTTTATTTAGCCCCTAAATGTAAATGTCTAATTAGCTGGTTAGGCTCAATCACTTTTAGAATGGTGCGAATGGCCTCAAAACATGTTCAAATCACTTCCCATTTCTTCTTTGCTTAGCATGAAACAAACATTAGACTACACCAACCTCAACCAAGGGGATACATGAACAGATTTGGAGAGATTAAGAGATTAATTGAGAGTTTTGGAGAGTATTAGAGAAAGAACAATTAATGCGGTAAGCACCAAGCTGGGTATTTTGGACATCGACATGACAATTTAGGTAATTATTGTTTTATTTTTATTTATTTATTTATTTTTTATTTTTTTTGTATTGAGATTATATGCATGTGACCAAAATGACTTGGGCTACTAAAACAAATATAGCATTTCAGAGCACAAAAAAAAGTTATCTTTAAAATAACTTAATAAAGATGGGCAGTGGTTCCTAATTATTTTGAATTTATCTAAGCTCAATTTGTTGTGACAACACAACTGAATGAGAAAAATCTATGTGAAATAGTAATGTCCAAACAAATCAATGGAATTGCTTCCCTGTTACTTACATCAGTGACGTTTAGTGAACATGTTTTAGTTTATATAGCACTGAAAAAAATGAAAGTATGTTGGAAAGAATGTTTACATTATATCTTTAACACATTTCTAGACTATAACTAGCTATTGGCACTTATTAACATATTACATGCTAAGATTGGTATGCTCTTTCAGCTGGAAGGTATGCTTATGTGAATCAGACCACATCCTAACCAAATGCTCCACTCCTCTCCACAATGGTAAGCCGCTGCAATTTAAATAATTCTATTAATTGCATGTAATTGAACATTAAACCCAATTACACAGTATAAAGTCTTCCCCTTTCCTCATTTTCTCAAAAACACATAAAATAACAATTAATTTAGCTATATCCAAAGCATGTTGTAAACTAACAAGCACTGCCCAGTTTCAGTTAATGCAACACAAATCATTCTTGTAGTCCAACACAAACGGATCAAGTTTACGTTATAGGTTAATTTTTACATATTTAAGCAGATTCAACATAAACAAATTAAGTTTGGACAAAATGTATAGCAATTATGTTGCTTAAACTCATTTGAAGCAATTTGAACAAGCATCCAATTTTTTTTTAATGCATTAAATTTAAAGCATTCCAGAAAAGACTTTCCGAAATACTAACAGAAATGAAACACTTTGCCTTTATATTAACTTTATATTTTCTCTGAGGCCATGCACTTTGCCACCTTCTTCACACACCATTTTCATCCAAAACGTGGAAAATAGTCACATCATGTGTTACTTAAAAAAAAAAAAAATATATATATATATATATATATATATACAGTATACCAATATTATTGGTAAAAACAACAGTGCCTCAAAACCATTTTTTTGAGTGAAGTTGTATCTATATGTATTTATTTTTGTTATGTTTTTTTTATTTAATGTTTAATTTATTTTAATTTTATATTATTTATAATTTTTATATATTATTTTGTTTTATATATTTATTTTCAACACCCTGGAACCTAATTTCTTAACAGAAAATATGAATTTGTAGGTCGTGTTTGCAAGGTAATATCAGAAAAGTTTAAAAACTTTTTCTTTTTTTTTTGGAATACCAATAATGTCATAGTGCAAAACAAACACAAACACACACAACGGGGTGAAAAAAAGACCTTAAACATCTCGACTCCCACAGTTAGATCGAATTCAGAGTCTAATGTAATTTGCTTTTATTATTTTCTCAAGACTCTAAGCATCCAACTTATTAGATTCAGGCTTGTAATTGCTTGCCTTTCATGAAAGGTTAAAGAAGGTCTGAGATGAATTAGATACAGGCAAGATGAATAATACAATTCAAATTGTGCACTTTGAGGGAGGAACAAATTGGTGGGAAACAAAGTTGGTCAACTTTATGTGCATTCACCATGCTTGCATTGACTCTGACTAACAGAAGATAGTGTGTAAGTATAGTGTACATAATATGTGTGAGAAAGAGAGAGAAATGGAGAAAGTATTGAAGGAAGGAGGTTTCATTTGCTATTGATTCAAACTTTGGCCACCTCCCAGGAGAATCTCCCCTCTGTATGAGTACACAGTGGCCAATACATGTTCAATCAGGAACATGACTCGTACAATGCTGCTTTTAGATTACTCACAGACTTGTATTGGGGAAAAAATTATCTTGGCTTTGTTGTCACTAAAGCAGACAAAGCCGGAGCAAAGAATGATGCAAGTGGCTAAATAAATAAGCAAAGCGCAGTGATTTAATGGACGCAAGGGCCTATCAAGTTCACTGTGGTTTCCTTCCCAAACAAAAGTACTCCTTATTCGCCCCATCCCAGCAGTCACATATACTTTTATGGAAGAAAAATGTGCAGGGCTGTCACCAGCAGAAGTGGGGGCTGTGTTTAGGTTTGCTTTTTTTTCTCACTCTGTCTTTTTCTACCATCTTCTTTCTCTTGTAGAGATATACCACATCATTCTGGCTGCATGAGAGAGCGTGGCAAGGCTTCATTCATTGTCCATGGGCTGTTTCCTCTTAAATGACTATTCAGCACTATGCAAGAAATGTGCTCTGCAATTTACAAAACAATTCCACCACAGTATGTGCCACAGGTTTAACAGATGATTTGCCCAAAAGCATCAGCTATTTTGAAGACTTAATGGGGTTTCTGCACTTATTCCATTTTTCTTATTTACTTTAATTTATTTAAAAAAGAGTTAAACACATAAAAAAACTGTTTATATGGACACATCTGCTGCCTATTTATCCACTGTTCATGTGCAGCAAATAATAATAATAATTAAAAAAAAAACAATCCAGTTGGATTGAATATTACTCTCCTCAAACCCTAAAAATCTATGTACTTATTATAGTAATTATTAGGGATGAGCGAGTACAGCATTATCTGTATCTGTATCTGTTAACCATATGAATTATCTGTATCTGTATCTGTACTCGGACTGCACAGCAAATTTGAAAGTGTTAAATTAACACACACGGTGTTAAAATTAACACTTTTTCTGAGTTTATATAGGTCCACACTAAATAGAGTTAAACTTACACTTTAAATAGTGTTACATTTTTTACACTTGCTTAGTGTAAAAAAAACACTGTTAGTGTTCACCGTTAACACCATTAGTGTCCCCCCCCCCCATTTACACTAAGTTAGTGTTGAAATAACACTAGGTGTGTCAATATCTTAACACCAAGAGATTTATTTCAGCACTGATATAGTTTTCATACAAAACCCTGATTAAGGTAATTGTGTAATCAGTGTTTGACTAAAAAAAATGTCTATGTGCATTCAGTTAAATCAGTCAACACACTGTATCAGTTTGAAATTTTATTTAACAGATGCAGCAATTACACCAGCACAAACAACATTCGCCATCAACATTCACTATTATTTACCCAAAACACTGCAGATCAAAAGGCCAGTTTAACTTCAAGCTGTTGGCTTTTTACAAGTTCAACCAACTCACAGTCTCTGTACTTTAAATGCATGATAATGTTCTGAATAATGTTCTGTGAAAAGTTTGTCGACAATAAAATACAGACTCTCGGAGACTCACTGTGGCCTGTATGAAGGTGAAGAAGTTGACCAGGGCTTCCTCTTAAGACAAGTTGAAGACATAGTGAACAAAGTTCAAAGGCACTTAAGGAGCTGGTTCCAGAACAAGGGGTAAGGCACTTGTCTACAGCGACGTAAAAGTGGTCAATCCTGCCCTTGATCCTTCCTGATCCCAGAAGAAATGCCTGGTGGTCCTCCCTCCCACTGAGAAGGCCTTCAATACTGGTGCAAGGCTGAAAAAATAAATAAAAATAGATTAAACATACAGGGAAAAAACATATTACAAGTTAAATGATTAATGCATTAAACTTTGTGCTGGTAACTTGCTCAAATTCAAATGAACCAAAAAAAACAAAACAAAAAAAAACTAAACTATGACACACCGCAACACAATTTGTGCCTGACAAAAAGTTGGTATCATGCTTTGTGTATTACAAATAGAAGTAAAAGATAACCATTAAAAGGAATCCCCACCTCCCACCACCACCAGAAAAACAAACAAAAACATTTGCTGAAAATTCTGTCATTACACACACACTCAGGTTTTTCCAAACCTGTATTAATTTGTATTGCTGAACAAAAAGAAAAATGTTTTGAAGAATGTAAACAGGCTGCTTTCTTCAAAATATCTTCCTTTGTGCTTAGCAGTACAAAGAAATATATACAGGTTTGGAACAACCTGAGGGTGAAACTTTTGGGTGAACTATCTTGTCAGGTCAGAGACAAAATGTGCAGAGGGTTCAGTCCAAAGGACCTGAAAGAAAACCACTGCATTTTAGGGGTTTAAAACCCAAATCTTAATTGAAATGTTCAAGACTTACAACGGTATTGTAAGTCTTACCTTATGGAAATGCACAAGTCTGTCAACAGCCTCTGTTGGAAGGTCTTCTTCCTCAGAGGAGGCAGGAGATGCAACAGCAGCATAACAGATGACATGTCACTGTCCCAATCTGAAAAAGTAGATGTTAAGGGATTGGTGGGCAATTTAAGAAAAGAAAAAAAGAAAGACAGTGCTCACAACAAGAAACCAGAGCAAATATGAAATTATGAATTCTTCACAAATCATACCAACCGTTTTCAGATTCTTGTCCACCTGCTGCATTGAGAAGACGTCGCATTTCTGCTGTTGAAGTAAGAGACTTGGCTTCGTTGATGATATTTTGCTTGAATGCCGTCTCCCACCTCTTAGGAAACATGATGGATGTTTCAGCATTGAACAGCATAGCAAAGTCCTGGTTAATCAAATGACAAAGCATATTACAGGATTGCTAAAATGTTAAAATTTTAGTTGTCTGGTATTATTCAAGCACTTCCTCACCAACAGATTTTTTTTTTCCAGTGAAGACTAAAATGGTGAAAGAATAAGGACAAGTTAACCATAAGAAAAAAAACATACGTACCCGTTCAGAATTTTCGGCGTCTGTGCTAAGTGTTGCTGACCAGATTGCTGTTTGATTTTGCACTGCTCTCTCGGTCGTCTTCATGGTCAGTTGACGAGAGTGAAAGAGTATCAGTGCATGTGCTGGGGTTGAGGATCTTGTGGGTGAAAACTCTTGACAGGGAAAAGCAAAACAGAATTTTAATGTTTTCTCTAAAGGTATTCAATCAAAAAGGCTTCGTCAAAATGTTATTTACTTCTGAAGCATGAATTTAGCCTAATGATTCAGAAAGCTTTCGGATTTCAAAAATGTATTTAATTTTTGTTCTGAAGATGAAAAAATGTTTCAGAGGTTTGGAATGATATGAGGGTGAGTAATTAATGACATTAATTTTGGGTGAACCAACCCTTTAAAAATAAAAATAAGGATACATCCTTGTAAATTCTTATTCTGCTATATGTAGATCCAGTTGACACTTAACCACCAGATCCTTTTGTCCACCTTTTCATCACTGGATTTCAAACTTCAATTCCCCATTTCAGATATTAATTAACCCAAACAAATCTGTAACAATATTCAATAAACTGATAAGAGAGCACTTAATTGTATATAGCTAATGTTGTAGCCTGGACTATTTTAGACAATGTTTGCATTATTAGCACGTCATTGCCATCTCATGATGAATCTCTTTTTTTATTAGTGTCTGCTAAAGGTAAATGTGTTTCTGACTCAATTACATTTGTCCCCGGGATTACATCGGAGTCCTTAAAAGTATGTCTCAAGTGTTATTATAGACTTACCATCAGACAAACCAGCAGTAATATTTTCTTCAGAACATCTTACAGTTAGGCATAAATATGGACTGACTTCGATCAGTTCATGGAGGATGTCCTCTTCCACATTGGTGTCGGTGTCAAAGACTTGAAGATCTGCTTTTGTTGCCAAACCAAATTTGCTTTTAACTATAACATGACAAAAAAAAAAATATATATACACAGGTTTCATTAGTTAACACGGACTAAGAAATAATAATTTTACAGCATTTGTTAATAATCAATTTTTGAAAACATAAAAATCAAAAGTTGTACTATGAACTAAAATTAACAAAACAAGCAGTTCTACTTTTATTAACTAATCCTAAAGTTAGTTAGCACATTTATGCGAACAAGGAGACCTTATTGTAACATGTTAACATGCACAAGTCATATAGCAATATTGTATAAGTCTTAAGTCATATAGCAATATTGTATAAGTCTTAAGTCATATAGCAATATTGTTTATGACTCAAGTAAATTTCTAAGTAGCACAAGCTTCTTCACTTACCTTCATTTAGAAAATCTTGAAACGTACGATCGGGGAGCAATTTCACAAATTTACACCTTGCCTGATACTGAACTTTAACCAGCATGATGAAAGCTGTTGGTCAAGAAAAATGCAGATTATGAAGTTAATAATATAAAAGAAGTTCATACGAGCTGCTGTTGTAAGAAGATCCATTTGTTAACCCACAAAGTGAAGTTGCAGCAAATATGTATACTTTCATGTAATGTAACATTGACAGCAGATGAAGCGCGCGTCAAAAACGCGTGTCAAATGAGCAAACAGTTCATATACAGTACACCGGCAGAAAGTTAGGCAAAACGCTTATAGTTATCTGATAGCTTATCTCCGTTGCCTTTTAACTTGTAGATCAGTTAAACGCTATAACGTATACTCGAAAATACCAGACAACAAAAGCGGCGCGTTCAAGGTTCACGTAAAAAAAATAAAAATAAACAATAGATTCGCACCGTTACTGCAGCATACTTTAACAGTCAGAGATTATTTGTGGGACAAGTCTACTGAAATATTGGACATAAAAATGCATTCACAATGCCTTATTTTGGCTAAGCAAAAAACGAGCCCCAGGGGTTATTTGCAGTGTTATTTGCAGTGAACGTTAAACAAAATCAAAGAAAGTATGCCGTTATGTATCCCAGATTCTAAAACATAAGGTTAAAACTACTAACTACCATAAACTATGCAAGTCTTACCTCAAATTGCCAGCGAACTAACAAAACGTCCTCGAGGTCGGATCGGTGGTCTCTCGTGACGTGTTCTAAAAGGAAATCATGTTAGCACTCAGGAAATGCTGAGAAATGTAGCCTACTAATATTATTCTAAATGGTAATAAATGTAAACTAAACATGAAAATTAGTTAAAAAATCAAGTAGTTAAAACATATTATACCTGTTTCAATATTCCTCTCCTCGTGGTCGTCCGCCATTAATCAAAAAGGAAGTAAGTGCAAGAACCGGAAATCGGATCAACTCATCACCAGTGTCAATTATGTCAACTCGCTGTAATTACGCTGACTCCGACCACTGAGTTACTCTGCAAGTGTTGATGCCATTCAAATTAACACCAGAATCAACACTTTTTAACTCTGATAATTTAACACCGTAAAAACAACTCTAAACTACACTGGATATTTTGCTGTGTGGGCGGGGCCTAAACCCGGAAGTGGGTCGGGTAGTCTTGAAATGGGCGGGGCTTTAACCGGTATGTTATTTTAAGCATGCAATTGATATGGGTTGATCTGAAATTGCTATATTTATTGCTGATAAGAAATAAAACTATTTACATGACAGCATCAGCATTGAGCTTCAGATCAATGGTTTTGATCACGATAACAAACGAACTACAGAACAAGTTTTGCAACAATGAATACAACACATGTGGCTGCAATTATGAAGTAAAATGTAATGAACAACAGTTTTCATCTCAACTACGGCTGGGTGATATGGACCAAAAGTCATATCCCGATATATATTTAGGCTGAATTTCGATATGCAAAATATATCCCAATATTTTTTTCTGCAAAGTGAGAGCAAATGTTCAGTCAAAGAAAAATATGACATGTCACAAGTAGTTTTATTGAAACTTGAACATTTGCTAAATCAAATGAATAAATAATAAACAGGTTTCTTCACCTTAGGGCTGCATGATTAGCTATGACAAAAATCTTAATTGCAGATTATTCCCTTGGAATTGTAATTGTGATTTATTAATTGGTTTATTTATTTTGTTAATACAACGTTGGTATGAGCCATTACAGTCATTTAAAAAAATATAAAAAATAACACAAAGAAAAATAGGGGCATTAAGGGGTTAATATAGAAACGACAGTTATCATGGTGAATAGTGAATACACAATACTAACAAGAACTGTTTATGAAACATGGAAACTGCTCCTGGTGAATAGAATGAAAATCATAAATGCATTGCTTTTATTTCGTGTAATTTACATGCTCGTATAGTTTCTTTTGCTCTACAGTGAGGCGATCCAGCGCGCGTCGCCGCATTTGCGCGTGCAATTGAGTGTGCGCTACGACTAACGTTACAGTATAACGGCTGACAGGACAGAAAGTCCCTTTTGCTGAGGTAAAAGACTTTATTTCATAACATACATGCTTTAATCAAGCACGCAAAGTGGAAAAGGAGTGGCTGGGGCGCGGGGAGCAGTGCAGAGAGCTCGGGTTCAGCACTCAGCAGCTTGCTTGGAGCAAGGATCACAGCGCAAACCTGAACTAGCCTATATCGATATGCAATATCTAATTACATATCACATTTAAAAATATATACATATTCTTTATATTGATATATCGCTCAGCCTTAATCTCAACATAATTTTTTTATTTATTTTTTTATCCGAGCACAGATATTGACTCGTATTACTCGTATAATATTCGTACTTGACAAAAGTGCTTTATCCGTACCGGATACTCGTTTCAGCCGAGTATTCGGCTCAACTCTAGTAATTATAATTACTGGGTAATAACTAGGTACTAACTCTGAACCTATACCCTACACAAATCCATGAACTTACCTTATATTATTAGCCAGCACTTTCTAAGTAAGTACACTGTAAGTACACGCAAGTATTGTACAGTTTAGAGTCCTTATTACTCTGCACAATGGCACTATAGTAAAACTGGGCCATCTTATTAACTATTTAATAATTTTTCTTTTTGTGTGTTTGCTTTCCACTTTTACAGCCCCATGTTGTGCTTTGCAGTCACAGTTTCGATTTATTTTTTTCCATTTGCTTATAAGAGTGAACTTGTGAAACACTTATCCACATTTTAAAGTCCTCTCCATCACTGTGGTGTCTTGTTGTTATTACTTTGTGTTTTTTATTGCAGACGAGAGAAGCTTAAAATATGTGTTGCAGTGTAAAATCAAATGACATCAGAGTTTCCTTATTTTCTGCACCATTTCTGGGGGTCAGATATGAGAAGGATTATTTTCTTAAAGGAGCAGCACAGCTCTGAGTCAAATGTGTATATTTTCACAAGCCTGCGTTTAGGTCCTGTATACATGAACTACTCGAAAAAGCAGTTGTCCCTTTCATAACCCATCTATAGTGCTTCAGTTTGAATTGTTTGCCCCAATCATAAACCAATTAACTCTCTAATTGGTTCCACGTGCAGATGCTTACAAGTCTGGTATCAATTTAGCAGTTTGAATGAATTTGGACGGCAACATTTTTAGTAAACCCCTCTCTTTCTCTTTATGTGGTAATTGCCTTTAACAGTCTGGATCTGGAGTAATTAGCTCCCTTTGAAACATAAATAGAACAGTAGTGATATAGGAGAGGTGGCGTTCTACAACACGAGCGACTGCAACTCTTCTCTCCTCGTTTTTCATGTATCATTCGGCCTATGAGAATACCAGTGCCACTAATTCCTCCTCTTTGGATGCTTTTAAGAGGTCTTGCTTATACAGACTGGGACTGTGGTACACAGTTACTAAAACTGATTTACAGGCTTTAATAAAACACAATTTGTGGTTAAGCTCCGGGAGGGAGGGCCGTCCTTTCTTTTTAACAGGAGGCCAGGATCTTATTTCAGCTGCTTTACAAAAGATGGACCGAAATCACATGGTACAAAGTTTGAAAAATGTGGGTTTTTTTAGTCTTTGATGTTCACTTAAAACTCTATGAGAAAGTGAAAAGGAGTTCTTTAGATTATTAAAATTGTATACACTCTAAGAAAGAAAAAAACACTGAAAGTTAATTTTTGGAACTCAAAATGGTTCTTTTATGGCATCATGGTGAAAACCCCCTTTTGGAACGTTTATTTTTATGAGTGTTTAGCTGGAATATTGCTGCTTTAAACTGTCTAGACTTTAAACTTCAATCTTGATTCACCCAGAATCATTTCTTATAAATGTCATATAATATAAATTATAAGGCATATTTGTTTGATTCACTGTCATGATTAGTTTGTATATAGTTTATTAACAGATAGCAAAGAGTAAGTGAGATAAGAAGGTGAGTGTTCAGCAGATAGATTGTTTGGTCGACTTAACTTGCATATTTGACGTTCACACAGACTGCAACTTGCAGGTGCTGTGAAGGTGATGATGAGCTGGAGACGAGGAAAGCAAAAGATGAAGGGAAGGAATTGTAGCAGGTATGGAGTCAGTTAAGTTGTGTGGTTGGTAACAACAAAGTCCTTTTAGGCACGTTATGCCACTCGGCCGCCATCTTGGCAACGCCTCCGGGCAGCTTTTTCGGACCAATAAAACCAGGCTCCTATCGAAATGAATGAGCAGAGAGTCAGAACTGTACTTTCACTGGTAGCTACACGGGATATAAAACTGCATGTATTGTAACAGCAGTACAATATGATAAAAATCGCTGAAAAGGTTTAAAACATTTTTTTTTTTCCCCCACAGGTTTTACTCAACGCATTCTCACCCCAAGGCGTCACCTTTGACCATGCTTCAATATTTGACGTTTTAGGCGCCCTTTAGCGTCACTTACATGACGCGATCCTACGGCGTCATCTAACTGACGCTAAAGGAAAGCGTCAGTTAGAGGACGCGGTTAGGTTTAGGTGTGGGGTGGGGGTAGGGTACACGCGATCCTAGGGCGTCATCTAACTGACGCTAAAGGGCGCCTAAAGCGTCAGATATTGAAGCATGTCCAAATGCTTCCCAAGGCGTCAGTTAAGTGACGCCTTGGGGGTGAGAATGGGCTGTTTTACTATACGCGCGCAAGGGTTCACGACACCAACTTCAATTACGTCTCCATTTAGAATGCCGGTGTTGTGCTCTTTTGCACATGCTTCGAATACAAGGTTACATTTGTGCTCGATATACAGTAAAATGCTTTAACTACCTTGGTAGTCCGATGCCTTTGGGTTGTTATCACCCTCTTCCATTTGGATTCCATATGATCTTGCACACAACACAACTTGCTGTAGCCAAATCATCCCCGCTATCGCAAACCTCGACTGTGTGGATGCGTCAGCGGAACCAGACGATAGGCTTAAATATTTCTCGGCTTGACTGTTAAAAGCAGACAATTGGCTTTCAAGTGTGAGGGGCGGGACAAGTGCATACAACCACCATCTTTGGCGTTACGGGTTTTCCATATATAGTTGCATTGAGGATTGTGCAAGGGGTATGTGCAGTGCTTGTTTATTACAAGCTCTGGTTCAACATATGGCATCCCTGTCTGAGTGGATAATCTGGTGAGGATGTGGTTTCCAGACACCTTTCATTTGGACAGAATACAATAAATGCGGTACTCTTCATTTGAGATGAAGTTATTCAGAAAAAAAAAAGAAAATAAATAAACAGTGAGGGTATAATCATCAGATATTTAATGAATTACTACTTACATTTACATTTATCTGACACTTTTATCCAAAGCGACTTACTATATATGTCAGAGGGCACATGCCTCAGGAGCAACTCGGGGTTAAGTGTCTTGCTCAGGGGCACATTGGTGTCTCACAGTGGGTTTGAACCTGGGTCTCTCACACCAAAGGCATGTGTCTTATCCACTGTGCCATCACCACCCCATATGTCTCCATATAAATTGTCTCTGTTTACAACTAGACAAAATCATTTGGGGAGTGTAAGGTGACTGCTTAAGGCTGATTCACACGGCAGGATTATTGGCCCGATTTTAGCCCTGATTCACCCCTTCTGACAATCTTAAGGATGCTCCGATTATCGTAAAATAATCTGATATTCATGCTGTGTGTGGTGTGTTAAGGCTGCTCTCGTCTGCTCGGAAGGATGCTGGGACCGCTCCGATCTCAAATCGGGGATATCCAACATGTTGGATTGTTTCATCCGGATTTCTCTTCGTGTGTGGTGTCCCCCGGGGACGAACGAGCACGCAGCCTGCGAACTGTGGCATGTAGCCAATCATAAAGCGAGGTGACGAGGCGTAGAGGAAGCACCGGCGGGAAACAAAATCAAAGTGGACTTTTTTTTTTTTTTTTTCCTGTTAAAAACAAACTACACTATCTCCACTGCATCCTCTTCGTCCGCCATGATTGTTCACTCTGAAGTCACGTTTGATCTCGAGGGATTTTGTGAGATTTTCCGTCTGACCTGGGAATGCTCGGGAGTCAAATCGGTTCGAGTGTGATGGGTTGATTTTGCCATGTGGCTGCGCACCACACACTGTACGACC